TTCATACATAAGGTGGACGGGCTGTCAGATGATCACAAGATTGAAAAGCAGAGGGATATTCACAAGCGAGCCAATGACGATCTGGCAGATGCTGCTCTAGAAAGAATACATTTAAGGTAGAGTATTTTTTTTTAATGAACGTTCATATGAAGCAAGTGGTTGGGTAGCACTAGAAACTGAAGTTTTACCAAAAACTTTTAAAACGATTAGCCTGCTGCCTTGGTTCTCTTCCCTGTCCTGAGGAGTCGCCCCCAGAGGTGAAGAGAAAGATGTGTGGTTTTTATGAGCTCGGTTGTTCCTGGGCAGTGACGATAAGCCGTCTACACACCATGCGTTTTGCAGTTGTTTCTTGATTTTTATTTTTGTAAACGGAGCCATTTTGGACCTTACAGCGAGGTACGCTAAATGAAGTAACACGTGATTTATGAGCGAGTGTACGAGGGACACAAGGCTGAAAGCCAGCACCCGGTCTGTCTGTTCCTTCCCACGGCACACCGCCGCTGTTTCCGACACGCTCAGACTCGTCACCGGCCCAGGGACACGATTCACTTGGGGAACGAAGCGGATTTCAGGGTGTACTCCGAGTTGGCCCCGAAGGGCGCAGTCGTCCCCTCCGGGCAGGAGCTGCCTGCCGGGGAAACACGGAGCTCCTGCTCCCACAGTTTCTCTTCTTTTCGGGTTTTTTTTTTATGTCCGTCAAACTTAAAGAATTGAAGTACTGTAGCCCACGCAAGCAATTCCCACGTAAACAACCCTAGAGCAGCTTGTACTGTATGTGTTTCTACGCCAAATGTGCAATATGACACTTTGGTTACTCCAAATATACATACATGTAAGTAAACGACAGCTCGTTCATTTTTTGTTTCAAAAGTGACGTTTCCAAACTTCTGCGTTACACCCGTGAATGTCTGAAGGCACACTGGATCAAAAACGTTGGTCTGTATAAAAGATAATTAAACAGAACATCATGTGTTTGGCCCTATTTCTTCTCCATTTCTTTATGATTAAACAGATATGTACATTAATTTCCCAAAATATGCTGTATCAGTAACATTTGAAACTTCAGTAATAATAATTATTCATATTATTCATTCTCACAACACAGTTTTTCGTTTGCCTTATCAATATTCATCTGATTTATTTCTTGAATTATTTGGCATTGTTTTTTTTTGCAAACCCTCAAGAAGAATACATGCATCTGCCATCCAGAGAGAAACTGAACAGAATTTCCCTTTTGTAAAATAATATGGCAGTTCAAATTTAACACTTTAAGAAAATAAAAAAAGAAGTGTGTTGCATAACTACTCACAGTTTCTGCTCCTTCTTATTATTGTCACTTTTGGGAATAACCTTTTGTGGTTTGTTTTCTGGGAATAACGTGGTGCTAAATCTAATCTGACATCTTTCTGCCTCCAGCTTTTATCTGACTAGCATTTATGATCACTCCATATTTGAGGCCTTCAGCAAAGTGGTGCAGAAACTCATCCCACAGCTTCCTACACTGGAGAATCTGCTGAACATTTTTATTTCTGTAAGTAGAACCTGACGGAGTGCAAAGTTATAAATAATGGCAACAGAAACTCATGCACTTAGAGAGGAATAAAATCTGACATGTCAGCCATGTTTCTCCAGTGCTAAACACTTGCATGTACAGAAGTTGGGCTGTAGGCACTATGGGGAGTATTGCCGGTTACCCAGTAAGTGCAGAGACGTGTTTGATTGGCTGGAAGAACGCTCTTGCATCCTGTACATCTTCACTAGGTTCAATCCTTTTCTTTTGAAATAGAATAAACATTAAGCAGTGACACAGGCATTCCTGTAGTGTTTATCAAAGCAAAAATAGTTATTTACTAGTACACGGTGCCTTGCTCTATTGTACTAATCAGAATCTCTTGTTTTTGTGATGGTATAGATTTGTTATCTGGTGCAGTTTCTTTCTTTAACATAGCATCCAGCAGTGAATTAAATAAAAGGCATCACTTACAGAACCTACAGAACCACAGTGTGGAGAAACAATGATCATTTGAATGGCTATATACTGTAGCTGCAGTTTAGTTGATTTGTTTACCGAACAGTGCATTTATAGTACTCTTTTCAGTGCTTCAAAGAGTGTAGAAGAGGCTTAGAGGTTAATCTCCAGTAATGGTTTTAAATCTAAATTGCACATCAACTAGCTTTCTTGCCACGCTCATATTTTTATAAACCACAAAATTCAGGCGAACATTCAAATCCGGACATACTGTATCACTTTTAAGCATTTTGAACAGAAAAGGAGTTTAAAAACTGTTTTATGTTTACCGGGCAAAAAAACTAGGTAATGTTTTGTCTACTAAATGTTTCCTTACACATTATTTTTTTCAAAAACACTCAAGTGTTCAAGACTCGTGTGTGAAGTGTATGGTAATACACGTGTCGGGACAACTGGACATGAGCCCATTATTGCCTGGTGTGGCAGGGGGACTATGTACTGTGGTGCTTCCCCTCCTGGTCCGGGAGCACTCCTTTGTCTTTCATTCCAGCTGGGCTTTGCCATTGTTTTTTTCTGGGGGGGTCAGACAGTAGCATGAAACCTGTACCAGGTGCTGGGATGAAGCTGATAGTTTCAGTGCCTTGCTGGAATTTCACCAGTGGGCCCGTGCCACGCCAACACAGCTGACTGAGATGATGCTTGACAGCCCTTCCCACCCGTATATGTGCATCATCAATTGAAAACAGAGCTGATCTGAAAGCTATTCTGTAGGTGAACAACAATTGTAAGCCAAGCTAAAAACAACTTCCCACTCACTGCATATCTTAATATGGCAGACATAAGGCAGATTATAAGAGGAAGTCCTGCAAAACTGTTAATCAATCGTTCGGTTCACTTAGGGGGTTAATAGGCAGATTAGGAGCTCAGAAGACTCAAGTGAACTGGCAGTACCCGGTCTGGGAAGAGCTGCTGTACAGGAACGTGCATACGCTACACACCAATAAAGCTGCAAGGCTCTGTTTAGACAGCAGGTGGAAGCAGACAGCAAAGCAGAAAGTCATGCTTCACCTCCATGCGTAGCATTTCAGCCCCACTGACAAGAGATCAAACTTTAAAGCATATGATGCCGTATTCTAGCAATAGGAGATTAAAACAGTAAAGCCTCCACTATCCCTTCTTCCCCCGTTCAGACCAGCGTTT